GGGTTCTTCTCATAGTCTCGTAGGTCATCTCTGGTAGGGTAATCATGGTTTGATACTCCCATGAGGATCACTGCCTTTGATCCGATCAATAGTTTGTCTTGATCGAATACGGGGTAGCTGCTTGTATACTTGAGAAATATTTCTCTTTCCTTGGCGAACAGCTCGAGATATCTTCTGATTACGTTCCTCATTCTTTGTGGGAAGTATTCAAATACCTTCATGGTCGTAGTGTAGATAGTGTCGATTAATCCATATTGATGGAACTCAAAAGAGAGTTCTGGTGATGCTTCTTCTGTGATTACTGCTTTGGGTCCTCCTCGACTGACGGGGTAGAAACCCATGGTCGTGTGTTTTTCTTCATAGTTGATTATCATATCCCAGTTGGATATGAACTTCTGAAAGATTGGTTTTAATTGCTCTTCTTTTTCCTTGGTGGTTAGGATGCTTTTGATACTGGGTATCTTCATGACGAGTTTCTGCGATTGTTGCTCTTGATTCTTGAGTGGTTCTTTCATTGCCATCACCTTGTATGATTGTCTGTATGCTTCGTCGGCTGCTTCTTTTGTTTTAAATGATTGATGTTGGACTGGTTTGCCGTTGATGTGCTGGCTAGCGATGGCCCAGTTATGATATACTCCTCGGTATGGTCCATTGAATATGACATACCACTTGCTGCCTTTTCTGTCGTCTTCTTCATAGTGGGAATCTTTTGTTTCTTTTTCTTCTTGTTCAACGATGTCTGCCCATCGTGTCGTCTTTTGTATATTATTGCTGGTAGTGGTGGATGATTGTGTTGCTGTCGACTTTTCTTTTTCAGCAGGTTCTGTGGTGAGTGTTGATGGCTTTCCATTAGTGGAGCTAGTTGTTAATGTACTGACGTTGATGTAGTTGATTTTTAACTGTTGCTGAATGACGTCGATTGATTGAATTATTGCTTCTTCCTCCCCCCTGCAAAGGAGAAGTTGTTGTTCCAGTGCTGCACTCTTTTCCTGCTTCTGCCTTAGTTGATTGATGAGGGTTTTTATGAATCCTTCCATTCTCGAGTCAGTGTGTCTGTGAAGGGATTGTTGCTGGACTTGATATACTTCAGATAAGGATTGTAATAATGGAGTTGTTGCTGCCACCTGATTAATCTCCCTTTGTTGAAATCTGCCTGAAGCTTGTACCTCCAAAAACCTGTTACATATTTAGAGTCGGTTTGAAGTTCAAACCTTGTAGATAATAATTCAAGCTTCCATTTTTTCAATGTTCTGAGACAGGCTAGTGTCTCTAATTCGTGGATCGGATAGTTCTGTTCAGTGGCGGTAAACGTTCCAGAAATATATTTACATAATTTCTTAGAATATTTATCACTGTTGAAAGGAACTGATGATTGAGAACTTGAAAGTTCAATAATATTGTCCGAAGACTGATAATCTTTAGGCTCTTGGCCAGAGACAGTAGCCTCGTTATTGTCTATTTTGACATTACCAAAATTGTCCATTTGTAATAATTCCTTACCATTTTGTATTGCTAACATACACCCTGCCCAAGTGTCCTTAGAGGCATCCGTTTGAATTATTAGAAAATCGTTTTCACAAGGGTTATATAATTTTGGTAAATGCTGACATTTTTCTTTCATTAATAAAACTATTTTTGTATCTTGATCATTCCATGACCAAGGGATTTTGTCAGAAATCTTTTTCTGTAAATGTTTTCTTTCTTTTGCTAAATCTTTTAAAAATCCTTGTTCGCTTATATAATTTAAGCATCCAAGAAAACGTTGAATTTGTTTTCTATTTTCAAGTTGGTTTGGGAATTTATCGATTTTTTCTTTAGTGTTTGGTGACAACTCAATTTCACCCAAATTATTAATCTTCATCCCAAGATATTCAATTTCTCTTTGAAGAAGTTTTGATTTCTTTTTAGAGATAATTAGACCTTTTTCTTTTATTCTCTGTAAAACTATCAAGATTTTTTCACGATGGTCTTCTTCTGATTGATTTGTGAAAATAATAATATCATCAATGTATGCCAAACAGAACGATTGAAAACCTTCTAATACATGATCCATAAACCGTTGGTAAATAGCTGGTGCTTGTTTCATTCCAAATGGGAGAACATTCCATTCGTAATGTTTTTGTGGAGGACATGAAAAGGCTGTTAAAGGTTTGGTATTCTCATGTAGACGAAGTTGCCAATATCCAGATTTAGCATCTAAACTACTAAACCACGTTTGACCTTTTAATCTTTCTAATATATAGTCTTTCCTAGGTAGTTTATAGCTATCTCCTATTGTTTGTTCGTTTAGTTTTTTATAGTTTATTACCATTCTTCTTTTTCCTCTTTTGATTTCATTATTATTTTCTACATAAAAGGCTGGTGCACTGTGAGGACTTTTACTTTCTCGTATTATTCCTTTTTCAGCTAACTCTGAACATTCCTTTTGGAATTCTTCTACATCTCGTTGGGTATATTGAATTTTGTTAGGGACATTAACTTCCATTTTAGGATCTTTTAGTTTAATTTCGATAAGTTCTTGATTGGTATTTTTATCTTTATCTAAAGGATGTTCACTACACACCTGGTCTAAAGTATCCTCTAGAATGCTATAAGTAATCTGTATATATTCTAGTCTATTTTTGAGGTTTTGAAGCACAATCTTTAGCACTTCATTTTTTGTGATTATTCTTGTTGTGATTATCTTAGATTCCTGGTCTATTGTTTTAGGACATCTCAGGCTGATTGTTCTAATCCTTTGGATAAATGGTTGATATAATTTGAGAAAGTTATTTCCTACTATTATATCTAGTCCTGAGTCATGTTGATAGATTGTTTTAGCTGTGAAGATATGTTTTTCAATAATTATTGGTACATATTGTTTTACATACCAAATTTCATGGATAGATTTGTCTGCCACTATAATTTTTAAAGGTTTTTCAAGTTTATCCCATTTTTTTATGGTTGATTTTTTGGCAAAACATAAGGTTGCCCCTGTATCAATATATGCTAAGAAGCTTTTCTTCTCTATTTCTATTTTAATAAATGTTGCGTTAGGATTGCCCTTAGTTAAAACCTTCTTCTGACTCATCTGAAGAGGTTTCTGAGGTTGAAATATATTCAATAATTTCTATATCGGATAGTTCAAAATCTGTTTCTTCGATTGGTTCAAAACCACAATCGTAAGCTAATCTAAGGACTTCTTGTTTTCTAGTGTTAGTATTTTTCTTAGGACATCTATTTGCGTAATGTCCTTCTTCGTTACATAACCAACATCTACAATTTGTTTTTCCTTTAGGACAGTATTCTTGTTGTCTTGATTTTTGTTTAAACTGTTTTCTATTTCTGAAATATTTATTCGGTTTTCTAAACCTATTTTTTCTATATTCCTTGTAAGGTATTTTTCTCCATTTTTTATAATTTCTATATTTTTTCCGAGTTTTAATGATCTTACGATCGTCGTTACACCCATACTTTCCAACTCTGTCCATTGTTTGTTCACAACAGAGTTTAATTTTAGCTTCTTTCTTTATTTTTCCTTATTGCAAGCTTGTTTATGCCATTCTTGTAAAACTAATATTCGTCCTCCTAATGTATTTGGTATCTCTTCTCTAGCCAAAGTTTCATTAAAGGCAGCTTCGACTTTTTCAGAGACATTAGGTGGTAATTTAGCATAGAGTAATTTATCCATCTCTTTTCTTATTGAAGGGGTGACTTGATAATAATGTGTTCTGAATTCACAAATAAATGGTTCTAAGAAGCACATGTTGCAAATCCTAAGATTAGTTAAATGCCAAATAGCTTGTTGACTTATGGTTGTGTTTGGTTTATCTTCTCGAGGATGTCGTCCTAAGAATTCATGAGTTATTGCATTTAAGACTTTTTCAAAGGTATTCGTCGCATCCGTTGTCCCATATAACGTTGTCTTAGAAGGAATATCCATGTTGTTAAGATAATGATAAACTGCCCCAGTTGTTTTATATATTAAGAAATTAAACATTTCATTAGGGTGTAATTTCTTTAGATCTTCATTAGTTTGTATTAGTAATCCTGTTCGATTTTTCCAGTCTTCTAATTCTTTTAATGGGTTGGCGCAACAATCAAGATCTAATATATCAGGATTGTTAAAACTAGTGGTGGAATATTTTGGTATGTAAGATTGAGGTATTTTACTCCATCCTCCCCCTTTGCGAGGTGTATACGAATTTTTATATAAGTATTCATCAAAAAATAGTTGACCATCTTTATAGTCATTAAAATCACGCTTTCGTGATGTTTCAGCTTGATCCTCAGTTTCAGTTTTCGTGTAATTTGTATTTGTGTAATTTTTATAGGGGTTTTCGTCACTACTATAGTCAAGAACTATTTTATCGTTTTCTATATTTTCTTCTATATCTGGTTCTGATTCAATAGTAATTGCGGCTAGTAAATCGTTTAATTTATTAATCTGTTCGTCAATACTAGTCATAGAAGTTTGTAGGGTGCCATGATAGTTAATGGGATAGGTTTTCCTGATTTATGTTCATTCAAATATTCTTTTATATCTTCAATTGTAATGCTTCTTTTATTATCTAATTTAATTATTATTTCTTGAAGTTTAATAATGATTTCCTTAAGATCTTCTACCGGTAATACTATTTCCTTAGAATTTGGAGTTGTTTTTCCCATTGCTATTTCTCTTTGTTTTATATCCACTATTATATTGGTAATTGTATCCTTAGCGTGTTCTAAATCTGAATATATATCTTTTTGTTTTTCATTACCTTGATATTCTAATATTGATTTTAATTGCTTATTATTGTCTTCTAATATATTTATTAGATTTTCTTGATATTCATCTATTTTTCTTCCTAATTTTTCTAGTTTTATCGAAATATTTTCAGTAGCCATAATTTGTCTATAAGGTGGATATTACTTCAGCCATTTTGGATACGAGTTAGTATCTGCTAACAAAAGGGCTTGTTAGCATTTTAACTTTTGCGCCTATTGAGTGATAGTTTCTGTCACATCACAAAAACCATCCACGTATTGTTTTCGCTAAAAAAAATGATATATTCTAAACAATACATGTATAATATCAAATATCAATCTCACTAAAAACAATCACAACTTCCAACCATAAAATCATATTGTTATTTTACTGATTTTTAATGTAGACATTCCTGGCTATCGCTACAGTAGCCACTAGCCAGTAACAAAACTGTCAGCTCTCGTCTTAAGACTTTTAACTCTTAACCCAACCATAGTAGTATTCACTAACCAGTAACCAACCACTCTCTTCTCCAGTTTTCTCCATCGCGTCTCCCGATAGGCCGCCCTTCCTGGAAAGCACGGACACCAGAAAACCAGATCAGTTCCTTCTCCTGTGACAATGGCGGAAGCTGCAACCACCACTCCTCTCTCTCTCTCCGAGGTAACTCCCTCATCACTTTCTCAGCCTCTCCGCCTCGTTTATTCTTGCTCTCAATTTTCTGTCTATTGGAATCGTCCAGGGCTCGTACCAGTTTCGATCTATCGACCTTCTTTCCCTGTTGTTTATCGTTGCTCTGGTTTCTGCTCGGCGCTTTGATCTTCCATTCCTATATTTCCTTCTAAAGCGTTTCCGATTTCCGTTTCCAATGGTTCCAAATACGTACCGGCTCGTCGAAGATTTTCTATGAAGGAGATCGAAGTGTTTGATACATCGGTTGGTTTCTTATTGTGACATCTTGAGAGGCTTATCGGTTCTGGCGGTGTTATCATATGGCTGATTGTGAGATTCGTTCCTGTAGGCTCATGCTTCTCAAGGAACGTCTTTGTGTTCTATAAAAATGTAGGATTTAGTTGAACGCAGCAACTCTAGGTGAAGGAATGTTGCTTCAATCTTTAGCTACAGTAGTTGAGATTGATGGTTGTCCTGTTCTAAGGAAAAATCTTCTCGCTTTTTGATGCATTGACTGGTTTCTTGTTATCCCTTCTTGAGTGTTTTGATAGACTGATTGGAAGTTCTGTTAGAATAGGCTAATGCTTGTTAAGTTACTTTCCAGGGACTGTATTTTGTCGTTTAGAAATTACCGATCGAGTTGAGCGTTGCTTTGGAGTTTGGATGGACTAAATTCTGTTGGTGTAGAAATGTTGCTGTTAGAGATAAAGAACATCTGGCATTGATTGTATAATACATATGCCTCGGTTTATTAGTGTGTAAGTGAGAAAAGATTACAGAGAAATGACTGTATCCAGCCACTAAGCAATAGTTGAGTTCGTATGCTTGAAAAGAAATCTTGGATTCCGATTCTTTGCTGAAGCTTATTAGTTTTATTTCGTCTAGTGAGGAAATGAGTTCGTACCATCATTAATGCAAGGATTCTGCCTGAATTTTTTCTCTGTTGACACTGATCTTCGTTGAACTAGTTTAGGCTACCCTACACACTCTTTGTGTTATTTGACTAAAGAACATCTACCTAATTTTATGCATACGGAATACTTGAGTTGGAATTTTATGTTGATTCTAAGTTACAGAGCGGGCCTATAAAGACACCTTTCTAGCAACTTAAGCGCTCCTTCTCTTTTTCGTGCGAAGAATTGTAACAGTTCAAGTGTTTTCAGTTGATATATCTGTGATGTAGGCTTGCCTTACCATATAATATCAGTTTGACTCTCTCTACACATTGAAATGCAGCAATACTTGTTGAAGGAGAAAGAGGAGAAGCCAGTTGTTGATGCCAAGCCTGTGGAAGTTAAAGAAGAATTAGCTCCTGCTCCTGCTGTTTCTGAGGAATCTGTTGCAGAGAAAGCTGTAGAGATAGGTGAAGCCGTCGTTGAGAAAGCGGTTGAAATAACAGACGCTGTCACAGAGAGTAAAACTGAAGATACCCCTGCTGCTACAGAAGAATCTACTGAAAATATTCCTGCTGCTGCAGAAACCACCTCTGAAGATGTTCCTCCTGCTTCATCTGAACAGAACTCCGGAACGGAAGAAGTTGCTGAGGAGGCCCCTGAAATAAAGGTTTGACCGTACTATCACCATTCTTTTCATCGATGAAATAATTCCATGAAATATGATTGTTCTCTTACATCTTTGTCTGTCGCGCGTGTCTGATTATGCTATTAACAGCTTGAGACTGCACCAGCGGATTTCCGTTTTCCCACCACAAACCAAACAAGACACTGCTTTACCCGTTATATTGAGTACCATCGGTAAGGGGAATTCTGTGTGTGGTTCTTGAGCTTCAGATGTTGCTTATTAATTCCTTAAATGGTGTATTTAACTCCCGCTGGTGCTTGTCTTGTCATTGAAATTTTTGCAATATGTTTAAGATGCGTGGCTGCTAAAGGAGAAGACGCTCAGGACTGCCAGAAGTTTGCGAAATATTACCGTTCACTTTGCCCCAGCGAATGGGTATGTGACTCTTAAGAACTTTCACTTCCCAATAACTATGATGATTAGTTTCATGGTTGATGCGAACTCAGAGAATCTTTATCTGGAAGGAGTGTTATCTAGTTAGGATAGTGATTACTGAAAGAGCTCTGCTGTTGATTGGAGTAGCCCACTGAATGTTAGGCTGCTCCAGTTGGAAGGCTGAGTCTATTTTAGTAAATAAGTAGGCATAATTGGCAGAACAACAAAGTTGAAACAGAGACTTAATTCTCTTCAGCTTATAATCCCAGTTGGTACCTTGATCTAGTTATCACTGGATAGTGGCATAACATTGTCTGCACATGTTTCGATCTTTCAAATTTGTTGGTTAACAATGATTATCTACATACTTCGGTGTTGAAGCTAATTTTGTGGCATTTTGATGGATTTCACAGGTTGATAGATGGAATGAGCAGAGGGAGAATGGTACCTTCCCTGGTCCTCTTTAAATGGGAAGCTCTGAATAGGCATATCGGGTGCTAGTTCATTTCTGTAAGACTTTAGTTCGGAATCCTTGGTAGGGACTACGTATCTGAATGTGAGAGGCAATAATAAAAAATTTTGGCGGGTGATATTCAAACTTGGAGTGCAAACATGGACCTAACACTGCTCAAGACACGAGAGGTGCACTTGCTCTCATCATCTTTACATTGTGAGAGAATTTTTCATGTATCAAAATGACTTGTTACAATCTAAAGGAAGAATGGGTGATGCAGAATTATTTGCGTAATTAAAGATCTATGCTGCTTGCTGCCTCTCTCCTGTTAGACTCTGGCAATGCAGTATGCTTGTACTAGGATTTTGGTTGTTTACCTGGGTGGAGAATTCATAGTGGCTGTCTCTCATGTGTTGATCTATTTGTGGTGTCATTTTTCAGTTTGATTGATCTCTATTCATTGTCTATGCTTTGCTTTGAGGTCTGGGATTAGTGCTTTAATCAGGATCTGTGCTGCTGCTCTTGTGAATGAAGATAGAGCAACAGTAGGATATTGTAAGGAAGTCCATAGCCTCAAAGGAGTCCTCAATCGTTGTTGCAGAATGCCGGATAGAGACTGATGAAGAGAAACAATGTAAAAAAGGAAGAAAAAGGTCTGGTCCTAATTGTGGAAGACAAACCCTCGGGTGATCTCGAGTCACCCAAACAGGCGGAGATGAACGGCCAACTTTTAGCTCCTTAGAGTTCTTGCAGGGATGGGCAAAATGTCACTTAGCCACCGCCATACATGTGGGTAGGGGTCTAGGGGACCAGGGGTGGTGCATGGTCGGTTTTGGTTTAACCGAAAATCAAAAATTCGGTTATCGCTTAAATCGAGCCATTTCTTGTGCTGCCGTCCACCGACATAGAGGGACGCCACGACTAACCAACACCGACCGGTCGGTTATCAGTTTTTGGTTTGGTTAGCCGTGGTAACCGGAATGTTGATTGTCGGTTCAGTTTTGACAGGAAAACTGACCGGTAACCGATCGGAAACGGTAAAAAAACAGTAAACCTGTCTAAACTTAAAGGCTCAAACCTACATTTCTACATCTAAATCACCCAAAGTAAAATCTCAATGCCTTTTGCATGGAAAATACATCTAAATCAACCAATCAATGTCTCAAATTCATTAATTCAACAACATAAAAAAATTATAAACTCCACAATTCACAAATCACAATAGATCCTCCAAATAGCAACAACAAGTCAACAACACATCATCATCATTCATGACTTATCAACAGTAGGAGAAGAACCAACATCTGCATAACTCTGTTCTTTCAATCGACCCAAGAAGTTATGACCATAATCGTCATATCCATCTTTCTCATACTCTTCCTCTGACACTACTTCTTCATCCTCCTGCTCATTCTCCACTGGAATGTTGAGACTTGCATCTGCATTGGCAACATTGTTAGTATCACTTGCACTTTTCATTCTAGACTGGAAAGTTGCATTAACTGAGTAAGAAAAAAGGAAACAAAATGTTTGGACATTCATACATTGAAATTAGATGGAATGAAATAGTGAAAACATGAACAACAAGTATTTAAGAGAGTTTTAGAACTCACCACTTTCCAAATCCAAATTATCTTCATCGTTTTCCTTCTCGTCAATCTCTCTGGATTCGGTAGTTGGATACCTTATCCAACCCTTAGCACAAATCAATTCCTCCATCATTGTATCGTTCAATGAGGACCTGAATGGACTACCCCCTTTAAAATTTTTCTAGAAATAATCCCTTCAAAATCGACCATTTTTCCTAATTATTTTTGTCTTGAATGAATTTTTCACCTAACTTGAACCCCTTTAAAAATTCGGATAACAATTTTCCCATGTCAATCAGAAGAACCAAGATCATGGAAAATTATCAAACTCTTAAAAACACTTCGGAAGGATTTTTATTTAAATAAAATCTTCATTCTTCCAATTTCTGAAAATAGTAATTTATCTTCAAAAATCCCCAAATTAAATTGAAAACATCTCCTAGACCCCCTCAATTTATAAAATTGCTAAACCCAGAAACCAACACCCACAAAGGCTCGAAACAATTTAAAACATCCAAAAATACGTTTCTGCAAATTTCCGGCAACTTTAGTGACCACCCAAAATCTGTCACTAAAAGCCTGTAAAGTCTGTTGCTAAAAATCCAGAATTGCATCCTCACGAAAAATCACCAAATCGATTGATCTAACTCAAAGGAATCGAGTTCTCTTACTTCTAGAACGTGCCTAGGATTAGATTGGATGACCCGGGATGTTGATATACTCGTTGATCGATGTTCAAACCCTCAAACCTTACAGCAAACGCTATAGTAGAAAAAAAATACGAGTTTCGGAATAGATTACCGATGAATCGAGTTTGGAATCGCGAAATGGTTCGTGATCCTTGCGCCATTCAAAGTTAGGAACCATTTGTTGATTGATCTTTTTGTTTGCTAGCTTGTTTGTTGGTGGTGGTTTGAAACCATTTGAACCAAGTTAGAGCTCCCAGTGCAGGGGAGCTTTGAATAATAGAGAAACTAGCCCATTATTTGTTTGAACTTTGCTACGTGACTTGCAAGTCACCGTAACTTGCACAAATAGGTCGACTGAAAGATAATAATGGTCAACCGAATCTACTGTTTCCGTTTTGTGATGTTCAACAACGCGATTGACCTTGTACATCAAATGGTCGACCTCTTTGGAAAGTGCACAATACAAAAGGCCAACCTCATTCTTAAAACGGCCAACCATGTGTATTAAAAGGTTGACCTCATTTTTGAAAATGCCGACCTCTATTGAGTTAACTTATCATAAACAAACTCGAAATTATATCCGCGAATAGTAGAAAAGGTCGACCTATCAAGAACGTGGTCGACCGCTTACACCGTATCCTTATTGGATAAAGATTCCAACACTAGAAAGGCAACTCTAACTTGCCTACCATTTAACTCACCCTAATCTCACCCTAAATATCTATATATAAGAATATATGTCACCTTCACCGCCACTCAAAACCAGTGGGAAGAGAATCGATGCTTTCAATGCTTGGAATGAAACTCATTTCTTGAGAACACAACAAATACAGACTGTATGTGGTCTTGCTAAAGAGGAAGTTGTTGAAGATCACAATAGGCCAACTATTCGCCATCTGTCAGTTACAACCAGTGTTCTTCACCATATGCTCTCCTACAACATTCTACCAAAGGGTGGACATCGGGAGGAAGTGACCTACTTTGACATGGAGCTTGTCACCAACCTACTTTCACATGAGCAGGTTAACTTGCCATATTTATTCTATAAACACATGCTTGTTGTTGCAGAGAATTCAAATAGGAATATTCCCTATGGGATGATCTTGACTTTGCTATTTGAGCATTTTGGTGTGGATTTAAGTGGTGAGGTTGGCTTACGAGTCACAAGCATGAGTTCTATAAGTTACATTTCAGAAAGAAGATGGGATTGGAGATGCACGATGGTGTGTATGTCCGAGCATACAATTATCATGTAGTCCAGGATGATGATGAAGAGCTCGGAGACGAGCGAATGGCGCAACCACAAAGTTCAACTCCACCAGTCACCCTCGATGCTATATGGAACCACATGAATGACATGGCCGATTACATGGGGCAGATATCCATCCAGATGAGAACACTACAGGTGATTGTAATAGAGATGCGAGATGAATTCTGATCTTTTAGTGGAAGATACATGCATCCCACTACATCCGACTACCATAATGCTTGCAACACCAATGAGGAAAATGCGGATGAGTAAGAGGAGAGGGGAGGGGAGAGGTTTAGGAACTCCACGATTTTAGATTGTGTTTTTTTTGTTGTGAAAGTTGTTAAGTCTTAAAGAAGATTTGGTTTGAAGCAACTATGATCGTGGATTGATATTAAGCCATTGTAGTTTTCGATTTTAGGTATGTGTGAACAATTGTGAGGTGTGTTTTATTGTATTTGGTGTTAGTGTGCTAAGTTCTTATGAATTTATGGTTTCTTACTATTATGATTGTGGATGGAATCTGTTGGTTCAATCGTAATTTTTACGACCAAACAAAGTACGCACATAAACGAAAAATTCAATGGTCATAGGCTGATTTTACTTAAGCGGTCGACCTTTTACTATTTACGATCGATCGAAAAACCAACACTTTTGTCTGCGTTTCACTTCAAGGGGGATGGATGGATAGTAGTTTAGTCTTCTTCTATCTGGTCGACCATGTCTATGTTATGGTCGAACATTTCGGTAATGACTACCATCAAGTGGTCAATCTCCTTTCGTTTATGACCCACCATTTTGCTTATGAGTACATTGAAAAGTCGACCGCTTTTGCATTGTGGTCGACCATTTAATGGTTGACCGTGATTTTCCATAAGAGTGACCACGATGGTGTAACCGGTCGACCGCAATTAATCATATGTCGACCGAATTGTGCAAGTTATGGTAACTTGCAAGGCACCATAGGCATACCCTTTGTTTATGTCTAGTAGTTTACAACAATATGATACATACTAAATATTTTGTTATGACTAGATTTGTATGATACACAATAGAAAAGAATGTGGAAATCAAGTATCAGAAAACAGTATGAAAACAGGTTTTCATATTTAAAATTCAGTTTTAGACTTTATAAACATTCTCAGCTAAACAAGTTTTCTCAAGATTTTGTTTCTTAGGAAACGATAGATTCATTTTCATTTTCTGTTGCCCCAACCATAAGGAGTTTAGGGAATTTAATTTGTTGGTGCATATTGACATTACTGCCCCTCCGAAAATTGAGGGTTGCTTTCGGGTGGCTGATGTGGCAAAATTCATATTCATATCTTGTATATATATATTGGTGGATTCAATTAAAATGACCTTTAATATAAGCATCAGCTCTCTTGTTTTCAAGCTTTCAAATGTAAGGTCTCACTCAGGAATCAGTTTGGCATTTTCTTTGGGGGTAGAATGAGGGACACTAGGTCTGTCTTTTGTTTCTATACTGACCATAAAATCTGTGATGCCAAGAGAATTTTCTTATTTCTAAGTAATCAACTAGAAAGTTAAAATCACCTATCATCCTGGTATCCAACTGAATCAAAATAAGTATGGCCGAGGAAAATTCAAGCGATGCTCCTTTTGTTGGAAATGAACAGTTTTGGAAGTTATAAGTGAAGTCTCAAATGCTACACTGGTCGGTAGAGTATTACAAAAGGAACATAAGAATACATTTCTCTCTTAATAATGTACCACTTGGGATGACTCACTTTTGTGGGAGAGGGAGAACCTAAAGGACCTTCATACCACACATGCAAATGGGTGGGTTGAGTTGGTCCGATTGAGACTATAACTTTTTGGAGAAATTATGAATTAATTATCTTATTCTTTTTCTTATACAAAATGAAAAACATTGAGGATAATTAGCACCATAACGCGTTTTAATTACAAAAGCAACTATTGTGATTTATTCACCGCGAAGATGATATTCGAAGGGTTTTTCGGATCCTATATATAGTCAACTCCAAACCCTCTAGACAGAAAATCTCGAGGTCTCAGTTGTGGTTTCGCACAAGCTGAGAGTAACAAAGATTGGTTGTTTTATTCTGGAGGAAACCGACTGATAGTCTGTCGTGCACATTACGAGGCAGTGCCACGAACGTTTTAAAGAGAACGATCTGGTCTGGGACTCAGCCAAATTAGGTATTCGTAGTTTCAATTGTTCGGTTTTTAACAACTTTTGGTTGATTTTTCCCGAACCCTACCAAGATGTTAATCGGTTTGGTGCAACTTTGGTATTTTAACTATCTGCACCAATCCCACCCTAAAATGTGCTACAACTATAATGTCGACCAATGTTTTGAAATCGTACCCTATCGTCCAGTAATACTAGGTAACGGGGAGCAGAGACAAATCTCGAAGATAAGAGCTGAGCAGAGAAATCGCAAGATGGGGAACTCAAATCTCGAAGAAAGGAGTTTCCGTTAGCTTGTTCGTTCGAAATGATAGACTTCTGATTTCCCGCTTTCTGTCGAACTATTTATGGGGCTGCGCAACGTGGATGAAGCGAACGACCATGATTTATCTCTCTTTACCTGGTCAGTATCGGACGGCTTCCACCCTGTTAATTTGTGTTTTTTTCTCCGGATATCTAACGGTTTGGATTTAATCCTGGGCCACCACTTCGGATCGCTGAACTCCATATCTCGCTTCCTATTGGGTCGAATTTTTGTAAAAAGAGATTGGCCAATACTACGGTGCCGCCATAAAAAGTGCGGCACCGGTGCCGCCACTTCTGATTGGTCCACGTAATCAATGATGTGGCACTGGCTATAATTTTATAAAGCCAAGCCCAACCAATTAGCCGACCCAAAACGACCCATTGGTCCAAATGAATATGAATGGGATCCGTTAATTCGAAGTTTCATTAGTTTTCGTTTAGCTACAACCCACAAACTGGAGAAAAGCAAAACGTCCTAAACAACACGTCGGCGTCTTCCTCGATCATTCTCTCCAGCGAACTGTCCCTAATCACCACCGGCCACCTTTCCATCGTCGATCCAATCCCCATTGTGTGCAAAACGACTCTACTAAGCTCCTTCATCGTTTCCTCCTTGTACATTTATACTGTATGACAAAGAGGAACAAATCCCTGGTTCCGAGCGGCCCCTGTATTTGTCGAAGTGCTCTGCCGACACAGATAATCCAAAGCTGAAGAAAGGTAGAGTCTCCCTCCCTGCCTTACCCCTCGCTCTTCACCCTCCTTGTTCGAATCGTCGAAACCAAAATGCGAAGTTCCTTGGTGCCTAGAGACTTCGCCTAACGAATCTGAAGGATTCCGGTAATTCGGAACTAGGTCAATTATTGGGTTCGTTTTGGTGCCAAATTTAGCTTAGTTTTCTTTTTCCTCTAAAATTTTATGTCAAAGATGCTGCAATGGATGCTTGTGTTGCGAATTTTCCCTTTCCCTTGTTGTGTTTACAAAGTAGTAGGGACTTGGTTGCTCTGTCCTTGTTCTGCTTGTGTGTTCTCCTTCAATATTTTGTCATGTAAGCTGACACCGTCCAGTAAAAGCCTTTTGTCCTTGTTCTGCTTGTGTGTTCTCCTTCAATATTTTGTCATGTAAGCTGACACCGTCCAGTAACAGCCTTCTTTTGTGGCTTGAGACTTATAGAGCTAGGACAATAGTAAAATTTCCTTGAATTAAATCAAATAGTGGCTTGAGACTTATAAAAGCCTTCTTTTGTTCTGGTCGTGCACACAAAACATGCCATCTGATCTTAGTTTGTTTTGTTTGGGCTGGCTCTCTGGAACCTTTACATCATATATCTTTGGTTATGATTGAATCTACTAGCTACCCTCTCTGATCCTTTTTCTGTCTAGCAGAATGTTGGTTGCTCGATAAGGGGGATAATGAGGAAGCTGAGTATATAATGAATGCATTAACAGAAAACACAGCAGACAACGATCAAGGAAGACCGAACCAGTCAAAGCAATGACTTAATCTGTAAATCTGCAAAATACCAACATAAATTACACTTATGAAGAAAGAGTGATCTCTACTAGAAGGCCTATATAAGTGTTCCAGAAGAAAAGAGAAGGCTACAGTTTACAGTCCTCAATAAGAACAGGGAAGTTCTTTGGGAGGTTGTTGTAATTCTGCAGAAATGGGGCTGAGTGCTAGGGATTCGAGAGTTATGGGTTTTCGACTTTTCGGATCCTTATTCTCTATTTCATCAATACTCTTCAATTAGATTCGTTAAGGTTTCTATATTACCAAAAGAGATTAGTATCTCCAAACAGATCCTAGTGATTTACAACATTCATAATTTATTTTTATAAACACTTCTTCTGAATTTTAATGATATCCATTCATATCTTATATAATTTATTTGAGCAGACGTACTTTCTTGATAATAAGTGGAGTGTATTCGAGAGGGACACAATCAATACTGATATCATTCTTCTGATAAGTAGAACAGCTTGGATTGATGCATGCAAGTGCTGGTCTACACATATATCATCATCATGTGAGGGAAGAACATCACAAAGGAAGGCTATATTCATGAACATTGTTACAGTTGAACTGATGAGTTGTAAATTTAGGATGAGCAGCTATTCCTATCCTTGTATACACTAAAGAACGGGATATGAAACGGATTTCATATATATATATATATATATATATATATATATATATTACAATGTGGTCCAAATCCAATGGTCTCTCTCAAATGAAGTCTCACACAACAAGCTATTATCAATTCTAGTAGTACAACAAAGCACACACTCAATGACATGAACCTACACAGAGACACTCATTATTCAGTTTACTCATAATAAAAAGCTTGATAATGAATCTGAATGAATGAACCATAGATAAGCTACATACACACAAAGGCCACTACACAGCTAACACACATTTGAATTCTGCCATCCATGAAAGAAAGAAAAGAAGCCTTCTCTCTCACATTTTATCCGGAACTTGCTTCACCGCATTGATTTCTTCTGCTTCGGCATAGATTCAACACCTTTCCTCACCTGCTTCCCCTTGGTGCTGCTGTTTTGGCTCTTTGTGGGAACTTGTTCAGTTTTGTGATTACATCAGTTGTACTGATGCTGCTTCTCCTGTAGGGTGTGCAGTGTCCCCAGATTCATTGCCTTTATGCTCCCCAAAAGCGATTGCAGCCGATTGTCTATATTTCCTTTCCCTTTGATTCTTCAATTCATCATCATCATCATCAAGGGTATGATATAGGAACTGATACAGACACAATATTGTAGTTAAACACAAGTGAAGGGGAAAAATCGCAAAACAAGGCTCCATTGCAGCATCCATGACATAACTGTTCAGAGTCAAAAGGAAACTAAGCTAAATTTGGCACCAAAACCCATAACTGTTAGAGTCAAAAGGAAACTAAGCTAAATTTGGCACCAAAACCAACCCAATCATTGACATACTTCCTCAACACACAAATGAATCGAATTACTAGAACCCTTCAGATTCGTTAGGCAAAGTCTGCAGGCAGCAATGAACTTCTTATTCGGTTTCGACGATTCCAACAAGGAGGGTGTAGAACGAAGGGACGACACAGGGAGGGCGATTCTACCTTTCTTCAGATTCCGATTGTCTGTGTCGGCAGAACACTTCGACAGAGACAGGGGCCGCTCGGAACCAGGGGGTCCTTCCTCTTTCTTTTTTCAGAATAAATGATCAAGGAGGGAACGATGAAGGAGCTTAGTATATTTGTTTTGTAATCGGGATTGAATCGAAGACAGAGAAGACGTCGATAGTGATTACAGACAGTTCGTCGGAGAGAATGGTCGAGGAAGGCACCGAAGTGTTTTACTGGACGTTTTACCTTTTCACTGTTTCCAAAAGGAATTAATGGGAATAATAAAAAAGTTAAAACTGGTAAAAAAACTGAACGAGACCCATCCATATTCATTTGGGCCAATGGTCCGTTTCGGGTCGACTAATGGATTGGGTTGGCTTATAAAATTTCAACCAGTGACACATCATTGATTAGGTGGACCAATAAGAAGTGGCGGCACCGGTGCCGCACTTTTTATGGCGGCACCGTAGTATTAGCCAAAGAGATTTTCCCTTTCTTTTTTGCTTCTCCCTCGGTCATGTGGTGGCTTGGGCTTTCGTGCGGGTCAAGCTGCAATAGGCGCTACTTTTTCCTGGCCGAGCCGATCGGCCCAATAGGGATTATTAGTAGACGCTAATTCATTATTATTTTCCCCAAGATGGAATTTCAATTTGAAGACAGAAAATTATCTGCTTCAAATTTTTTGGACGTTCCAATTTTAGTTCCGGAGAAGAGCAGCAGAGCGAGCAAGCGAGCCGACGGAGGACGGACGGCACGGCAATGGGGTTGCACAGTTATTTTGGCGGGGCGACCATACAAACCCTAAAGATGGCGGCAGTTCCGGCGTCTGCCTCTTATTCTCGCTTCGTCTTCAGCCCTATTTCCAGAAACCTAGTAGCGCTGGATTCATTTCCCCGCCATTCTCCATCACCTCCTTTTCCATTGCTGGCTCGAGCTCTTTCAATGGCCGCGGCAGTCCAAACAACTCCACCGAGCAGTGAAGACATAGGAACTGCAACCGGTGAATAAATCCTCTAGCCATTTTCTACGTTTGATTTCGTTTCCCCTCTTCGCTGGAGACAATCAGGGGGTACTTATTGGTCGAATTTTATTTGATTCGAGATGGTAGGTTCAGTAGGGAAGCCGCAGTGGAAGGCTGCAATCGACTTCAAGTGGATAAGGGATAACAGAGAGGCCGTTGCTGAGAACATTAGGAAGAGGAAATCCAAGGCCAGCTTGGAGCTTGTGCTCGAGCTGTACGAGAAAATGTTAGCTGTCCAAAAGGTCAGAGCTTTACGGACTTGCATCCCTTTTTAACCCCCTTTGTTATGCTCATACCTGGAATGCATGTTGCTTTCTGTTAAAGTTTCTTTCTCGAGAGTTCTTTGTGTTTATAGCAGAGTGTTGAAAAATGTGATGTCAAACTGAAGCTTGTTAGCTTCTCAGGTTTATCTAATTGCCTCTGCCAGATAGCAGGAAGTTGAAAGGCTTCGTGGGGAAAGGAATGCTGTGGCAAACATGATGAAGGGAAAGCTAGAGCCATCAGAACGTCAAAAGTTCATAGAGAAAGGTAAGGGTGGTGTTTAATTGCAGGATCGCTTGCCCCAACTCCTCTCAGTATTAAATCATTCTGCTTCAGGAAAGAATTTGAAGGAAGCACTCGCTAGTTTTGAAGAAGACCTGGTTAAGCTGAGTGACGAGCTTCAACAAGAAGCTCAATCGATACCTAACATGACCCATCCGGACGTTCCGATTGGAGGCGAGGATTCCTCAGCTGTCAGAAAAAAGGTATAGTACTAAAATGCTTCTATTGCCGTTGGCCTCTTTCTTGTATGGTGTGTCTATCTAGGAGTGTGTTAAAACAGTTTATGGTACTGAGTTCATTGTGGCGTCATAAACATATGTTGTGATTCTCTTAGGTTGGCAGTCCACGTGAATTCAGCTTCTCTGTGAAGGACCATCTTCAACTTGGGAAAGAGCTTGATTTATTTGATTTCGATGCCGCAGCAGAGGTACTATTTCTGTACATTTAAGGTATTAATTAATGCACGTCATTAAGGTTTCTTGAAAGATAGTACATAGTATGAAGTCATGATTCTATTTTTCACGTTATTTTGAATTAATCAAGATTGTACAATACTAAATATGAGCTTCTGCGACTCCAATTGTCAGCATTAATTACTTGCTGGATGATAATTAAGTAATCCCAGCAGAGTTTTCAGGATTTAGATCTGAGTCCCTCCTGCTGAAGTAAGATAGGGTCGCTAATTTTTAATTTGGCTATACAGGTCAGTGGATCAAAGTTCTATTATCTGAAGAATGAAGCAGTTTTGCTAGAAATGGCCCTGGTCAATTGGACACTTTCCCAAGTGATGCAAAAAGGATTTACTCCATTGATAACCCCAGAAATTGTGAGGTCATCTATTGTTGAAAAGTGTGGCTTTCAGCCTCGTGGCGATAATACCCAGGTTCGTTATTTGGTTGCTAAGGATCCCTCAATGAGCTGTTAATTTGTGTTATTTGCTCTGTTCATCATGGTTTGAGTTGCCATCTCTCTCTCTAGCTTTGATTACCCCCTTGTATGCGGGAAGAAAATATTTTTACTGTTAGCTACAAGAAGTGCAGAGCAAGAGCAGCCCCCTAATCGTTTTCCACATGCTTTTGTATACCACTTCCATTACTAGTTGTTAATGTAAGTACGTGAACTTTTTACAGGTATACTCGATTGAGGGTAGTGATCAATGCCTCATTGGCACAGCAGAGATTCCTGTGGGAGGAGTTCATATGGATTCTATTCTTGCTGAAACAGTGTTGCCTTTGAAGTATGCTGCATTTTCCCATTGCTTCCGCACAGAGGCCGGTGCTGCTGGACTAGCAACAAGGTCAATAACTTTCTTTTGTAATGATCAACTGACCATTATGTTTTTATGCATATTATATGTGAAGGATTTGTATCCACGCTAATTTTGGTCGTTGTCCTCCTTCGTCTCAGAGGTCTTTACCGAGTGCATCAATTCAGTAAAGTGGAGATGTTTGTTCTATGTCGACCTGACGAAAGTGATACATACCATGAGGAGCTCATTACAATTGAAGAAGACCTCTTCTCTTCACTGGGTTTGCACTATAAGTAAGCATGTCTCTATCAACGAATGTTTTTTCTTCTTTTTTCTTTCATGTCTTCCCTGTATAGCATGTTGCTCCTCTAATAATGACCTTTTGTTTTGTGCCAATAGAACTTTGGATATGGCCTCTGAAGACTTAGGTGCACCTGCTTACCGTAAATTTGATGTGGAAGCATGGATGCCTGGTTTAGGGCGGTATGGTGAGGTATAGACCTGTACCTTGTTTCTTATACTTGACGTGATTTGCTCTGGCTAATAACTTAACAAAAGCTGAAACAGAAACTACAACTCAACCAGAACTTATAAATAGATGCCTGTAAAAGCCGAAACAACCAGACCCTGATGCAAAAGCTGAAACAGAAACTACAACTCAACCAGAACTTATAAATAGATGTCTGTAAAAGCCGAAACAACCAGACCCTGATGCTGAGACCTAGTGGGCAACGTAACTTGTAAGTTAAAACTTGATAAGTTAAAATCCTCTATCCTAACTGTGCACATTTCTTGGCAGATATCAAGTGCATCAAATTGCACCGACTACCAAAGTCGCCGGCTAGGGATTCGATACCGGCCAGCAGAACTGGCAGCATCCACAAACCCTAAGAAGGGTGGTAAAGGCAACCTTGCTCCGACAAAGTTCGTACATACTTTGAATGCTACTGCTTGTGCCGTACCCCGTATGATGATATGTTTACTGGAAAACAACCAACAAGAGGACGGGAGTGTCATTATCCCAGAGCCACTGCGGCCATTCATGGGTGGAATGGAGGTTCTATTGGCCAAGCACCACACTGGTTAGCTACCCGTAGAAACAATCTTATGGCAGAAATTCTGCACAAGTCATTGCGGTGAGAAATAGTACAGGGGTTGAAATCTGAGCTGGCATGCCTTCGAGATTGACCCCTAGGGTCTATGCTTTGCTGGAGTTTTATATAAAGCGATTCCAACAAGAAAGTTTTATACTCTAAGTAACTCGTACTGATATAACTCTTAAGAACTGCAAGAAATATCACTTGGATTTTTAGGGAGAGGTTAGCAGTAATATGCATCTGCTGGCCTATGAATTTATAAATTAGAGGATGTTGGTCTACATATTTGGATTTCGACAAATGTTACTTAGAATATTCGTCAGGTTCACGTGTTTAAAATTAGAAAAAAGAGAGGGAAAAGACGAAAGAACATAACATTTGGTTTCCTTGTTATTTTAATGGAGAGCGAGAAAGAAGCGAGTGAGAATGTGAATCTGAATCCAAATGAAAAGTATGTATAATGATTGATAACCCATATTAGAAGACGTACAACCAAACGCGAATGCAAATAATCGATTTAAGCATCACAACAAAAAATGTAAAACTAAATACGAAAACAAATGACTGACAACCCACTTTCGAGCGAGATGACTAAAGACATAAAATCAAATACGAACACAAATAAATCAAATTGAGTATAACAACAATAAAAAATACACATTTTAGAAAATAAACAAATGAAAGTCGTGGGACCACATAGTTTATTGTTCTCCTTTATCTCTTTGATTTTTTCCCAATAGCAAGAATAAGAGTAGGGAAATGAGGGGCAAGAGGTAGGGAAAAGAGGGAGAGAACAGGTGGGACACACCTAAGTATTCTTACCCCCAAAGTTGCGTCTAATTAGGAACCAACCGCTTAAGAACTGTAAATGTAGAACCAAGCTTTTTATATTATAAATTAGAAGATGTTGATCTACATATTTGAATTTTGACAACTGTTACTTAGAGTATTTACGAAGTTCACGCGTTTAAAATGAAAAAAAAAGACGAAAGAACGTAGCATCAGGTTTCCTTGTTTTCGATGCCCCTTTCGTCATTTTAATGGAGAGCGAGAAAGAGATGAGTAAGAATGCAAAATTGAATCCAAATAAAAAGTATGCATAATGAGTGATAACCCTTATTAGAAGACGTAAAACCAAATACGAATACAAATAATCGATCTGAGCATTAGAAAAACAAAAGAAGTAAAACCAAATACGAACACAAATCACTAATAACCCACTTTCAAGCAAGATGACTGAAAACATAAAACCAAATGCATAGACAAATAAACCGATTTGAGCCTAACAAGTAACAACAACAAACAAATATTCATATTTAGAAAATAAACAATTAAAAAGTTGTGGGACTCATATAGCTTATTGTTCTCCTTTTTCTCTTGGATTTCCCGCAATAGCAAGAGCAAGAGGTGGGGTAAAAAGGGGGCAAGAGGTAGGGAAAAGAGGGAGAGAAGTGGGTGGGACCACCCTATGTATTCTTGCATCCAAAGTTGAGTTTAATTACGAACCAACTACGTTCTGATAGTTCTAAATGTCTGCATGATTAAAATGTCTTTTGAAGCCTGATTATAGTGATGTCCGTTTTCGTTGTATTATTTATGATATTCCCAAATCTTCAGCTTTGTTTTGGCCAGTTCACTCATTGGAATTAAAAACCAATTTTCATTCCAATTAATTAGGGAATAAAATTTCCAAATTAAAACCCCCAATCCATCCTCCCGTTACCCTCCTTCCCCTCTCACGATTAAGGATGAGCAATGGGTTGGTCCGTATTGGACCACACCAGACCAAACCAACACTCTTATCGTACCACACCGAAACGGATATAATATGGTCAGGTCTATGGTCCCATGAATTTTATAAATACTGAAGAGAAATTGACCGAATTGACGTTTGGATCAAACCAAAATGGACCGAAAGCAATGTTGATCCATTCCTCAGTCCTAAAATATCTTTCACTATTGAACTACAGTTCTCCCGAGTTTGGTTTGTTTTGGACCAAATCGGACCGTTGCCCACCTACCAACTCTCTCTCGGTTTCCCTATCCCCACACCAAAGGAAACCTAAAGGCTAAAACTAATCCCGGTGGTAAGCGATCAAGAGAAAATCCCTTTGGTGGAAGTAGGAGCAAAACTCATCTCCAAATATCATCCCATGCCATCTCTCTCTGAATCTCAAACCCAGCCAGGTGGTGAGCTGGAAAGTGAAAGCCGGACAAGCAGATTTTATTTCGTCCAAAATCAATCGTTCATTATCCAATTACATTCCCTGTATATACAGAAGAGACTAGAGTTCTATTTAACACCTGTACTAAGTAAACATTACAAACAGATGCTAATTAAATATTACAATAAAGTCTATAAACTATATATAACTTGCAATTACGTCCTCGTATCTTCATCCTCGGACAACTCCCCCCGCAAGTTGGTGCGTATATGTCCATACGACCCAACTTGACCTGCAAATGCCGGAAAACATGGACTGGAAGAGACCTGGTGAAAACATTAGCAAGTTGATTACTAGAAGAAACACGCATAACTTTAATAACACCATTCAGAATCTGATTCTAATAACATGGCAGTCGATTTCGATATGCTTGGTACGTTCATGATTTACTGGATTATCAGCTAGTCTCATTGCCTACAAACTGTCACAGAAAATGAGAGTAGGGGCAGTAAGTTTATATGTAAATCATGCAAGATATATCTTAGCTATAGCAACTCACAAGTCAGATTAGCCATTGCTCTATATTCAGCTTCAGCTGAAGAGCGAGAGACAGTCTTTTGTTTCTTAGATCACCAACTAATTAAAGATTGTCCTAATAATACACAAAAACCAGTAGTCGAACGTCTTGTGTCGGGACAACCGGCCCAATCACTATCACAAATAGATTGTAATTTAATTTCAGACTTGGAAGAGAAGAACATACCTTGACCAGCAGTTCCTTTGAGGTAGCGCAGAACGCGTTCGGCAACCTGCATATGATGGTTAGTAGGATTATGGGTAAACTGACTTAGCTGATTGACAGCATAAGACAAGTCTGGTCTCGTGTTACAAAGGTATAATAGTCTGCCAATGAGACATTTATATACTTAGGGATCAGGTAATAAAGTTCCAGAAGTAGTAGATAACTTGGAACCAGGGATATAAGGGGAATCAGATGGTTCAGCACCAATAAATCCAAAATCAGCAAGTAAGTCTAAGGCAAACTTTCTCTGGTACAAGATGATTCCTTTAGAGGAACGTGCAATTTCAAGTCCTAGAAAAAAACTTTAGTTCACCAAGATCTTTAATAGTAAAAGCTTGATCAATCTGCTGTTTGAGTTCAGTAATGGCAGCTAAATCATTTCCTGCAACTGCAAGTATTATATCATCAACATATACTAATGCAATAGTAAAAGATGAATCAACTTTCCTAACAAACATCGAGTAATCTGCCTTTGACTGTTTATAACCTACGGAAGTGAGAAAATTGGTTAGTTTAATGTTCCATTGTCGATTGGCTTGCTTTAACCCATATAAGGATTTGTTTAAACGATAGATTGGGTTCTTAAAAGCAGGTGGAACTACAAGACCAGGTGGAATTTTCATATAAACCTCTTCATCGAGGTCACCATGTAAAAACGCAGTATTTACATCTAGCCGATGCAAATGCCAGTTGTTAATGGCAGCCAATGAAAGTACAAGTCTAACTGTAGTATGCTTAACTACAGGTGCAAAGGTTTCTAAGTAATCCAAACCGGGTGTTTGAGTATACCCTTTGGAAACCAATCGAGAGTTAAAGTGTTTGATAGAACCATCTGCATGATATTTAATTTTGAAAACCCACATATTGCCAATAGGAACTTTTCCAACAGGTAATTCAACTACGGTCCAAGTTTGAGTTTTCTCTAGGGAAGCTAATTCAGAATTGCAAGCTTCTCCCCATCGAGGATCTTTAATAGCTTCTCTATATGTTCTAGGTTCTTCTATAGCAGAGCTAGCAAGAAATTACTCCTATATTCAGAACTTGGATTATCAAAAGTCATGACATCAGACAAGGGAGTCGCGTTGGAGGTGGCACCATGCCATTAATGGCAATTGCCCTATTTATGCAGACTCCATTGCAGTCGGCCTTAGAGCCCAGTTCAAACACAATGACAAAAGGAAGATTCTTGGATGTGTTCTTAAAGATCTTGGACGTGTCTTGAAGGTTTTTGGACGTCTCTTGAAGGTCTTAACATATATTGATATTTTTGAAGAATTTCTTGCGGTTCCTGAAGAAGGTGTTCATTTTCTTTGGAGCGCATGGAAGCAAGGTTTGAAGCACTCGAGTGAAGGATTTAAGAACATATCGTACCCCCACCTCAAGATTCCATAGCTGAAGCAAACCCTAATCAAGAACGGGTTCAAAGGGAATGAGGTCGAGGATGTTGAGTTTCTGAAGTTCCATTGATTGAGAACATGAGGCGAAATTAAGCATTGTGGATGCCGCACCCATCAAGGAGGAATCAACAACGATTTTATGAGGAAGACGAGGAAGTTGAGTATGAAGACGAGGATGCCTATCCACGTAATAAAGAAGACGAGATGGAGAATATTAAAGTTACCATTTCGCTGTTCAAAGGCACCACCAACCCTGACGCTTAACTAGATTGGGGGAGGAAGATGGAGCTAATATTTGATTGGCATAATTATTCCGAGAAGAAGAAGATGACATCGGCTACTCTAGAGTTCTCAGATTATGCTATGGTTTGGTGGGATCAACTTTGTACGAAATTGAGATGTGGGAAGATTTGAGAGGCATCATGAGGGATCGATTTGTGCCTAGCTGCCACCGAAGAGAGATGCATGATACCCTACAAGCTCTATGACAAGGCACCAAGAGCGTAGAAGACTACTACAAAGAGATGGAGATGCTCATGATCAGGAAAAATATAGAAGAGGACCAAGAAGCCACCATTGCACCATTTTAACAAGGTCTCGATCGAGAGTTAAAAAAACGTGGTGGAGATACTACTGCTTGTGGAGTTTCACGATTTGGTGGCGATGGCTGCAAAGGTTGAGAGATAACATTGAAGCAACCTTGGAGAAGGTACCTACCTTCCACAAGTGCACCAAGACCTAGTGTGCCTACTACTCCGAACCCTAGGCCAGGCATGACGAAGCCAGAAGTTGTAATGCCCGCGGCCAAGGTTGAGCTCCAACAGAGAGACAAGCCAGTGGAGGCATTTCTTAATATTTGGAAGACTTTTCTTAATATTCTTCTTATTGATTACGAATGAATCACAAAGTACATATATATAGGGAATTACTGGAAAATCC